TTTTATCATTTTAAATAATTTATCAAAAATTTCTTTTCATCATACAACTTTTTAAATAAAGGAAAATCAATTCTACCTTATTTAATGTTTAAGTTTAAGAAAGAAAATTTACTTAATATTTGAATACTAAAATATTAATAATTAAATATTAATAATTAAATATTAATTTATCTTTTAACTTAAATAATTCCTCAGTTGTACAGATTTCATTTTAATAATCATAAAAATTATTGTGAAAATTTGTAATTTATACAACTCTATGAAATCTTATTTTAATGAATCAGATTTTATATAAAAACCTTCTTGTTAAATAATTTATCTTTTCTTTGGAATTCTTAAACTCTCTAACTTGTAAATGATCAAAATTATTGTAGTATATTTAACGAAACTAATGGTATTTAAAAGAAGTTATGGCATACATAATCCTGGTTATTGTTACTCTCATTATTAAAAGAAATGACAGTATATATTTGTGTTGGTTTCTCAACAAGTGTTCTAATAAATTTTGGAGGTAAATATTTAAAAATAAATATATAAAAATGGTCTAAATTTTCCACAACTAAATTATTTGTTTCAATCTTTTAGACTTCATTAAGGCTATTACCATCAACATAGCTAGGAATTATTCCATTGTCTACAATTAAGTAATAAATTTAAAGTTGAAATTTTAAATTAATAATTATTATGAAAATTCATGGAGAAATTGATTAATTACCATATCACATTAATAATAATTTATCATTTTCTATTGATCTAATATAATATTAATTTCTTTGAAAAAAAGAAAAATTAATATCTTAATTATAGAAAAATCTCTTAAAATTTATATTAAATAAAAAGAAAATTTTATTACTTATTTCTTATGTTAGGTAAGAAAAGTAAACCAATTGGAAGAAATTAAGAACCAACAAGTTAAGATCATGCTCTCGTCGAAATAAAATAGGAATTTCAGAGGGTCTTTTAGAATATCAAAATTGAACTAATTAATGGTATTGTTGGTAATACAACTAAATGGATAAGTTAGTTAGACAATTTTAGAGCACGATGAATAGGTTTGGAGTATTAGTCTGAGTAAATCATAAAGCAATTTAATTTCATGTGGAAATAATAGAATTAATTTAGTATTAGAACATAATAAGAAGGAGAATTTTTGGATAATAGTATAATGGATAAATGTAGAAATTAGAGGACATAGAATTTCAACTCTTTTGTATTTTAATCGTGAATTTCAAATTTGATGAATAAATGAAATACTCATATTGATTATTTAAAAAAATCTTAATTAAATGATGAAATAATTAAATTCTGAGGGTAAATGTTATATTTTTGAAAATTGAATTTTAATTATGAATAATGAATTGGTATGTGATAAAAAATTTATGATCTGAAAATACATTAATATTAGATAGGAATAAAAGTAAATAATTTAAAATTACTTATTTTTAATAAAACTCATTATTAAATATCAATTGCACCTAATGTCGTACAATAACAGGTTTTATAATTAATTTATAGCATGAAGGTAAAAGCATCTTTCTAATTCAAATAATAGGTCATTTAAATCGATTAATTAAAAAATAATCTTAATATTAAAAACAGTATTTATTATGTATTAGAACCATTTTTATATGTCTTAATGAGCTATACATATGATTATAACTGTCTATGATTTAAGAGGAAAACTGATAAAAAATAGAAATATATAATAAATTAAGACCCTAATAAAATTTGGATTTATCCAACTATTATTATTTTAAAGTATTTTATCATAAATAATGATCATTTTTTTAATTATTATTATTAAGCCACTATTTTGATTCTTTATAATGCAATATCTTTAATTTGTTTATTAAAGTACAATCATTCAACAATATTTATCTTACAATAGATATCACTATTATAATACTTACATTCTTTTTGGCTAAATTATGTTATTCTTTCTTAGATTTCTCTCAGTTTGAAAATTTGAATTATTAATATTTATATTTGGTTAATTTAAAGATGTAATAATGATAAAATATATATTAATTTCCATTTATTTTTGATTCTTCAGCATATCAAATATAATAATTATTAATAACAATCTAACTTAAATGTATAGTCCTAAACTGGATGATAAGAAAAAAAGCAGTTTAAGCACAATAAAAAAAAAGTAGGCATAATTTATAATGTTTGTTATGATAGTAAGACAAAATTGCTTATAGAATTAAAATATACTGTTAATATATAACCTGGTTTAGCAGTAGTGCATATATGTCAAATCTATTCAACTGAATAAAACAGATAACTTGTTTACAATAGATTAAAATTCAGAGGTTACTAAGATGATAGTTGAACTTGGAGGTTAAAAAGTTGATGGTGTTGTAAAAGAATTAGAAGAAGCAAAAAAAGTATATGAAAAGGGAATATAAGAAGGAAAGACAGTGGTATTAATCTAAGAGGATTCAAAAATATCAAATATCAAAAAGTAAAAATTGGTCGTTTAAGCCCTGGTAATTCATTAACAATTTAATTTGAATGCATCCAACAATTATAAGTATTTCTAAATTAATTTTGGAAATTAGAATTGTCTTCTATGGTAGATACAAGTTATCTTTCAGTTAATAAATTAAAGAACACGTCGAGAAATTATGCTTAATAATATTTTTTGATTGAAAAACCCTGTCAACATTTAAGCAATGAAATTAAATTATAAGTAAAATATTACTGTAATAATTAATATGTAAAAACCTATTACATATACTAAATCTCCAACACGCTCAATTGTATTAAATTCTGATATTAATATCAAAGAAAAATAAATTGATTTATAAACTCCATAGAACTTATTGATTATTACTTTAGATACGAATGATCCTGGAAATATGGTACCAAATAAAAAGTTTGAATTTTTATTTTCCTCTAATGATTTTAATAACTTTTATGCAATACTAAGCCATACAAATAATGATGCATTATAACATATTAAATATTGTGCTACTCTAACCCTCATTCCCAAATTTAATGAATTTCCAATAGATGATGCCTATCAATCATATACTAATGGTTTAAATTTATCTTAATATACAAAAATCTAAAAGGGTTGTTATTTATTTTTTATTGATCATAATGGTTCAATGGAAGGCATAAGAATTGAAAAAGCCAAACAATCACTCATACTGTTTCTGAAGAGCCTTCCAGAAGATTGTACTTTTAACGTTATTTCATTTGGTAGTGATGAAGAAAAGATATTCGATATTGAATATAATTAAAATACACTAAATTAGGCAATAAAGTAAGTTCAAGAAATGAATGCAGATTTGGGTGGAACTGATATATTAAAAGCCTTGAGCTAAGGCATTTATAATGAAAATTATAAAAAAACCAAATACCATTCAGAAACTTTAAAAGCATTTTTATTAACAAATGGAGAGGATTCTAATAAAAAAATCATTAAGTTAGTATCAAAAAACTATAGACCTGAAACTAGAATTTATACATTAGGTATTGGGAATTATTGTAGTGAGTATTTAGTTTCAAGATTAGCTGAAGTTGGAAATGGAAAATGTTAATTAGTAGGAGATAATGAAGATATTATTTCTAAATTTATAGATTTGTTAGAGGATTCCCTAACTTTTTATTTAAAAGGATTTTCATTAATACATAATATTGACAAAATTTCATAGATTATTCCTGATCCAAAATCAATAACTTAATTAAAGAAAAATCAAGAGTTAACTTTAAAATTTTATTTTCAAAGAAACACAAAAAAGAAAATTTAGAATTCTAAATTAATTGTTTTGATCCATAAATGAATAAATAAATTTCTTATGAAGTAAAAATGAAACTTAATAGTTCCAAAGAGAATGAATATTTTCATTAAATAGCTGCTCATAGACTAATAAAGTATTATGAAAAATCAATTTCCTAATAAGCTAAACAAATGGATATGGTTATGATCAATGAAAAATGCCTAAAAGATTAGGATATTATAAATTTATCATTATAAAATCAAATACGATTTTCTAAAACAGCATTTATTTGCGAAGTATGCTAAAATGAATAAAATCTTTAAGCACTGATTAAGAAAAACTTATGAGGAAGATGAAGATATTCCAAAAAGTACTAATAAATGAATGAAATTTTGCCTGAAGAAAAAAAATATACAATCCTCTCATAAAATGGTAATGAAATAATTACCAAACCGATAAATGCAGATGTGTTGCAACTCAAATTCAAGTTTAAAATCAAAATGTAAAAATTGGCAATAAAAAAGCACAGAATTATGTTAAATATAAATTTAGATTTTAATTTTGTTTTTCGACATATCACAAAAGATATTCTTTAAATATGAGAAATATTTTTAACTTTTTATCTCTTAAATAATTTTGATATGATGAAATATGATTGATAAGTTTTTTTTAGATATTATAACATTTATTCTCTCTTAAGAAAACTCAATAATTCTTAAATTATTGAAACAAAGTTAAGAGATTAATATCAAACGTAAACTTCAAATCTTTATTATGAGAAAGAAAAATTTGACTATTAAAGAAAACCATTGATTAAAGAAATCAAAAGAAGAGTACAGGTAAGTTTAAATGTTAACAAGAATAACGTATGAAGTAAACTATAATTATTATTGTCGAAGATAAACAGACGTTGCTTGAAAATAAATATAAGTAAGCTAACTTTTTAAGTTAATACATATGGGAACAGATTTTTTATTCTTTGTCTATTCTTTATAAATAACAACAATAAATGTTATAATAAATTCTTTTAAACTCATAGTCATTTTATTGCTCTAAGTATGCTGATTTATTAAGAAATATAATTTTAAGAAGGATGGTTTAATTATAATGCTATTTATAAATTTATTAGGGCTTAAGAAATTTGGTTCAATTTTTCTAATGAAATTGCTAAATAATATTTAGTATAAAACCTTTGTTGTTATAGGCATAAGCATAATTTGGATCTAATAGAATCGTTTTATTATAGCAGATTATTGCTTGTTCATATTAATTCAAATCATTTAAAGTTTTACCTAAAATTCTATAAGAAAATATTTACCTATATTAAAATATGTTTTTGCAGCTTTTGGATCAAGTTGGATTGCCTGATTATAGTCATTTAATGCTTTGACTTTGCTACCAATATTGTAATATAAAGTGCCTTATGTATTAAGTTAAAAAGTATTCACCTCTATTAGAATAAGCCATTGCATCATTGGGATTTAGTTGAATTGCTTGATTATAGTCAATTAATGCTTTGTCTTTTTCACCAATATTGTAATATAAAGTGCCTTATGTATTAAGTTAAAAAGTATTCACCTCTATTAGAATAAGCCATTGCATCATTGGGATTTAGTTGAATTGCTTGATTATAGTCAATTAATGCTTTGTCTTTTTCACCAATATTATAATGTAAAGTGCCTTAAACATGAAGCTAAAAAGTATTCACCTCTATTGAAATAGGCAACTGCATATTTTGGATCAAGTTGGATTACTTGATTATAGTCAAGTAATGCTTTTTCTATGTCACCAATTTTGTAATATAAGCTGGCTATTATAATAAATTAAATAATATTGACCTCTTTTATAGTAGGTCATTACATGATTTGGATCAAGTTGGATTGCTTGATTATAGTCATTCAAAGCTTTTTCTTAGTCACAAATATTATCATATAAATTCCCTATATATTTAGTTAAAATTATTCACCTCTATTGAAATAGGCAACTGCATATTTTGGATCAAGTTGGATTACTTGATTATAGTCAAGTAATGCTTTTTCTATGTCACCAATTTTACAATATAAACTGGCTAATATATTAAGTTATAAAAATATTGACCTCTATTGAAGTACGCCATTATATCATTTGGATCAAGTTGGATTGCTTGATTATAGTCATTTAATGCTAATTCTTGCTCACCAGTTTTTTAATATTGACAAGCTAATAAATTATATTAAATAGTATTTGCCTCTATTAAAATAGGCAATTGCATCGGTTGGATTAAGTTGAATTGCTTGATTATAGTCAATTAATGCTTTGTCTATTTCACCAATATCTTCAAATAAAAGAGCTAAAAAATTATGGTTATAGCTTATACCTCTATTAATATAGGCATTCGCATATTTTGGATCAAGTTGGATTACTTGATTATATTCAATTAATGCTTTGTCTTTGTCACCAATGTCAACATATAAATTACCTAATATATTAATTTATAATTATTCACCTCTATTGAAATAGGCAACTACATATTTTGGATCAAGTTGGATTACTTGATTATAGTCAAGTAATGCTTTTTCTAATTCACCAATTTTGTAATATAAGCTGGCTATTATAATAAGTTCAATAGTATTCACCTCTATTATAGTAAGCCATTGCATCATTTGGATCAAGTTGGATAGCTTAATTATAGTCATTTAATGCTATTACATACCGACCAATATTGTAAAATAAATTTCCTAATTTATTAAGTGTATTATTTTACCTCTATTGCAATAGGATATTGCTTATTTCGGATTTAATTGGATTGCCTGATTATAGTCATTTAATGCAATTTCTTTTTTACCAATACCCTCGTATAAATGGGCTGATTAAGTTTAATAGTATTTACCTCTATTGTGATAGGCAATTGCATAGTTTGGATTAATTTGAATAACTTAATTGAAATCTTTAAGAGCCTAGTCAATTTTTTGCTCATCCTTATAATAAAGCCCTTAAAATATATATTTTATGTGACCTCTACACATATAAGCATAATAACAATTCCCATCTTCTTCTATAGCTTTATTGTAATATTTGAGTTCATTATTTTTTTTTTTCAAATCTCTCATAATTGTGCCTATACATTTATGTTTTTATATTACCCATTCTACTATAACACATTGCAATGTTTGGATTAATCTAAACACACTTCATACAATCTTATAATGCTAGATCAAATAATTATTTTCTCCAATAAATTGTTCCTTAAATTATCACATCTAATATATACCTCTTTAATAATAACTTTCAGCATTATTATTTTTTATTGATATGCTATAATTTACATCTTCCAAAGCCTTATCATAAAATTTCATTTTTTCATATAATTCACCTAAATTGATATTCAAAACAATGAACTTCTTAAAGTATAGGCTTCTGCAAATTCAGGATTAAGATCCAGAGCATTATTAATTTCCAATAATGCTTCTTCAGTTCTATAAGTAATTTTGAATTCCTAAAAATTATTAAATGGAATAATTTTACCTGGCTTCTTCTGTAATACTCTAATGCAGCATTTTCATTTTCCACTTAATTTTTATTTCTCATTTTTTTTTTGAGATATATCCAAATTTTTTTTATAAATAAATTAATCAAATTTAGGAAATCTACACCTGGTTAAATAATAGCATTTGATGATTTTTTATATTTTATTTAAATATTATGATTAGGAGCTATAGTATTTTATACCAAAAACAAATGCTGCTTGTGCAGACAGGCCTTCTCCATTCCAAATTTGGCAGCGTTCATTAGTGGGAGATTCAATGGATTAAACGTAAGAGATAATGGGTCCAGC